TTAAGCAACCATTGTCCCAGTTGTATTTTTGTGCTGACTTTTGTTTTTCTTTTTCTTGTCACTGTCCACAGACATCAGTGCTTATCTTTTTGATCATTTTCTGCTGTACCAAATAAACTAAATCTTTCTTGTAGTAGAGAAAAGAAAAAAGCTAGATATGGTAATATGAATGAAAAAAAAAAAAAAGTGGATATTAACGATTTCCTGGGAGATAAGATTAAAAAAAAAGAAATCTCATTAAAAGCATCATTCTTGTTGTTGCAGACTCCAAATGTGGGTAGGCTTACAGCTACATCATGTTAAAACACTGGTTCCTGTATGTTATATATCAGTTAAGTTAAGCAATGTCGAGGCTGGTCAGTACCTAGATGGGTGACTGCTTGGAAATACCAGGTGCTGTAAGCTTGGATGTGTGGGTGGTGTAGTGGATAATGGCTCCGAATTGTTAATTGGAGAGTCTACTTCTAATTCCAGCTGGGTTTGTTATATTCACTTATGTGCAAATACCTGTGGGAAAGATATGAATCCACTTCTTTTCCCCCCAGCTTTAATTAGTAAGATTTGTATCTCTAAAGCATTATTTTCTCAAACAAAAAATTCTTACAATCTAAAAGTATTTTTTGGTTTTCAAAAACCTGCAATGGTTTTGTAAGCAATAGATGACAATCAATCAATCAATCCAAATGTGGATAATGTTAATTGAGATGTATGTATGATTTAAATATGATTTTATTAATTTTAGTTTTACATATGATTTAATCTTTAAAAAATATTCAGTGTGTGCAAAAGATTACAATATTTTATAACAAAAAAAAAAATTTCCACTGCGTTTTCAAGGGGGTAGTAATCTTTGAATAAAGTTATTTTTTTCTTAATGATAATCATTCAAACCACAATTGAAAAGCTATTTGTCTGAAACTGATATAAAATATTAGTGCTTACTTGTTTGACAATATTTTAATGTTGGGAATATGTATTTTCTATTACTGATGGTAAATGATTGTGTCATTTTTGGTTATCCATACTGCAGCTTGTAAATTTCGATGAGCTTTCATCATACTTAGATAAGGAAAGCTGATTCAACATCCACTTGACTTTTAAATTCAGTGAACAAATAACAGGTGCCCACTGTTCTGTTGCTTTCTATGTTATAATGTAACAGATTCTAACTTATCTCGGAGCATTTAGAATATGTAGCCCCTTCTATCTAGGCAAAGAACTTAAATTCATTGAAAATACATTCAAATCAATATAATACACTACTTCATACTAGCCACAAAAAGAAAGCTCTAGAATGAATTTATATGAACTGTAAATGTAAAACTCAAATATCATGATTTTTTTTTTTTTTTTTTTTTTTTTTTTCAAGTCCTAAGAAAACTTTGTCTTGCAATTCATCAGTGGACCTGGATGAATTTTCAAAACTGACCTGTGTGGGGAGAATTTAAAATCGGGAGGAAAATTGTTGCACTGGGATAATCCCGCTCTCTCAGCCTGGGGAGTCTTTATCTGATGGCATGAGGAATCATTACAACCAGAGACTTCTGAAGAGTTGTTAGCAGGAGTCACAGAGAAGTGTGGGTGGTGGATGTGGTGCATTTCAGATCCTCTTTATATTGATGGTTGGACTTAAAGTCTCTGTCCCCTTCGGATGGTTTGATGCCAGGGAGGCCGATTTGCAGCAATGGTTTCCCAGGTCTTAGTTGATGTTGGCCTGTGCCATAGATATCTTCAACTGATCCTTGAAGCACCATTTTTGGCTTGTGTGTAGCCTCTTGCTGCTGGTAATTTCTCCAAACAGGATGATACATGGGAGTTGAGTGGGACGCATTCTTGACACATGATCTGTCAATTGGAGGTGGTGTTGCAGGATGGTAGCCTTATGCTGGGGAGAGATGTCTGAGAGAGGACCTCATTGTTGTCAATACGATCCTCACAACTGATGCAAAGAATTCTTCAAAGCTTTGTTTGTTGCAACCACTCCAGACATTTCATGTCCCAATGATACAAAGTCCAGGTCTTGCAAGTATACAGAAAGGTGGAGAGGATCACGGCCTGAAAGACCATGATTTTGGATTTATGGTGAAGCAATGATTGCTGAAGACCCAATGTGAGAGTGTTCTGTAATGCATTGTATCCCACACTTTAAGAGTATCTTGTATGGATTTGGCTGAAAGCCATGAAAGCTTTGATCATTAATCAGAACACACAACTGTTGTCATTTTGTCACTACTTTCTTTTCAATTCTCTATTCTTTCTTTTGGTTCAGTAGGAGTAGATTGGTTCACTATTGTAAAGTTCACAATCTTCTTTGGTCTTTTGAACAGGAGTAGAGGTTTATCCCTTGTACCCTGTTTAGGATTGGGTTTCTGGTCCCTTCTAATGTCTTTTCATTCTCTTTTACTCCCAGTAGCCTTTTGTGTCTTAGTGGCATTATCACCTTGCTTGGAATGAATTCTTAAAAAAAAATCTTAAGCAGCATTTTTAAATTTTCTTTAAGTGAAGCATTTTCTCTATTTATTTGATGTCTATGAAATACAAAATCCCAGTAATATTATGTGTATTGACCCAGAATTTTGTGATAAAAAGTTACAGTAATAAGATGGAGCAAAACTAAGAATGAAATAATTGCAATAATGAAATCTCAAGTGCTGTGATAAAAAAATAAGATGGAATAAAACTATTGCTGCTGCCACTACTACTACTATTATTATTGACCCAGGGTATTGGGATAAAAAACCATAAATAATGAAAACTGTATTACCCTTGTGTACTGGGGTTAAGAGCAACAAAAATAGGTAAAGAACTGCTTTAAATAAATGGTGCCAAATTTTTTGGTTATCTGATACACAATGCTCATTGCTGCCTCAAAATTGTTCTACCACTGATTCATTGATTCTGCTGAAGACTTTTGTGTAGCTACCTTGATTTAAATGACTTAGAGCAGAAAGAATCATAATAGCTTTAATATTCTAGAAATTACACTCTTTGATGAATTATGTTGTTTTATTGTTTTACAAGAGTAAAAATTGTCATCCCTTGTGGTTATTTTAGTATGGCAGCCAGTGCCTGAAGGATTTACCAAACTTGCCACTATTTACCATAATGATAACAGGAAATAATGCTGTAGATAAATAAGGAATGTTTGTTTATATTTCAATGTTGCCATATTTGTTTGGAAATTATTGTGTTGTTAAGAAATCACCATTGACTATAAATGACGATGTTTGTTCTTTAAATTTTGGATGCTACATTTTTAATATTTATTTATTTCTGTAAACAGTTTTTGTACTATAACTTTCCTTATCATTGATTCTTTTCTTATGCCAATTCAAGGCCTCTGATTGGGAGATTGGAGGTTTTGAGAAGCATGGAACCACCTCTTAATTGCTGTTGTTCCCAGGTCCACCTTTCCGGAAGCAAGGCCTCTGACCGGGAGATTGGAGGTTTTGAGGAGCATGGAACCACCTCTTAATTGCTGTTGTTCCCAGGTCTACCTTTCCGGAAGCAAGGCCTCTGATCGGGAGATTGGAGGTTTTGAGAAGCATGGAACCACTTCTTAATTGCTGTTGTTCCCAGGTCCACCTTTCCGGAAGCAAGGCCTCTGATCGGGAGATTGGAGTTTTGAGGAGCATGGAACCACCTCTTAATTGCTGTTGTTCCCAGGTCCACCTTTCCGAAGCAAGGCCTCTGATCGGGAGATTGGAGGTTTTGAGGAGCATGGAACCACCTCTTAATTGCTGTTGTTCCCAGGTCTACCTTTCCGGAAGCAAGGCCTCTGATCGAGATTGGAGGTTTTGAGGAGCATGGAACCACCTCTTAATTGCTGTTGTTCCCAGGTCCACCTTTCCGGAAGCAAGGCCTCTGATCGGGAGATTGGAGGTTTTGAGGAGCATGGAACCACCTCTTAATTGCTGTTGTTCCCAGGTCCACCTTTCCGGAAGCAAGGCCTCTGATCGGGAGATTGGAGGTTTTGAGGAGCATGGAACCACCTCTTAATTGCTGTTGTTCCCAGGTCCACCTTTCCGGAAGCAAGGCCTCTGATTGGGAGATTGGAGGTTTTGAGGAGCATGGAACCACCTCTTAATTGCTGTTGTTCCCAGGTCCACCTTTCTGGAAGCAAGGCCTCTGATTGGGAGATTGGAGGTTTTGAGAAGCATGGAACCACCTCTTAATTGCTGTTGGCCCCAGGTCCCAGCTATGGGCAAATAGTAAAAAAAAAAAAACAAACAAAACCAAAACACTATGAAAGTATAAAGATTTTTATAGCAAAATGACATTTAATTCAACACTAACAAAATATAAAAATACATTTTTATAGTAAAATTACCAACAATAATTTTTATCATGTACAAACGATATATCTAAAAAATATACCTTTACATTGAAAGTATAAAATTATGTACACAATATCTGTAGTTGAAAGCTTAAAATTGCATACAATATAATTAGAACTTGGCATCTATAGAGGTTGATATGCTGCTAAACAAAATCAACCAACTGACTGACAAAAATCAAAACTTTCAAGCTAAGTGTTCTTTAGCATTAAGCCTGTCCTGAAGTAGTAGTACCTGTTAGGGTCCCAGCTATGGACAAATAGTGAACCCCCCCCCCCAAACAGAAACAAAACACTAGGAAAGTATAACAATAGCTATGTATAATGAAATTACCAAAAATACATTTTATCTGTAGTTGAAGGCATACAGTTGCATTTAAATATTTAGATTTCAGGATTAAATAACCCATTGAGGTTGATATGCCACTAAACAAAATCAACCAACTTATGCCAATTTCCCAGAGTGTAGAACAAGCTTTTAAGAAAACTTACTGTCATTTTTATCATGAGTTGGAAAGTTTTTATTTTCCGGGTTTTGTTCTCTGATAGCATTTAATGTAAAATATAACATTTTTACAAGCAAATAAATAAAGAAAATCTTGTCTTTGTGGTTAGAAGACAAAACTGTGAATTTTTTCTCAAATTATTTTATATTTACTTTCAGACTGCTATTCGTGTTCCCCGTGATTTCACAGGCTGCAGTACTCTCAAAAAATACTATGCTCAATTACAGTTTCTACAGAGCAGATTTAAATTGGGCCAAGATGATGAAAATGCAATTCCCTTTACCTGGTAAGTGCAGAAGACTAAAAGAAAGAATAAAATAATTGAAGCTGAAAAGGAAATTCTAACAATTTCCATGATTATTTGTTTAATCTACTGTAGTCAGACTCACAAGAAAAAGAAAACAGTAGGGTTTTCAGAAAGAAGGTAATAGAAAAAGGCAATATACTTGACACTGGACAACTGAGAAAGTTAGAATTTAGTGGAAAGATAAGAAAAGTGTATCCAGTTTGATGAGTGATTTGTTAGAGATAGCTGTAAAATTAAATTGGGAACTGTATTTGATAGCATTGAAAACTCGCTAGAACTTTTTATGAAAATGAGGGTAATATCAGAAGCTGAATGAAACTTCTTCCTTACAATTGGAATATAGGGAAAATGAATTTGAAGTCAGTTCTTTTCTTAGACTTGATGCCACCCAAGGCTTGGGAACTCGGTCCACCTTGCTATTTAACCTATAGCTGAAGGTGAAGAAATGGTATCATGGCTTTCCAACAGACTAAACCATAATTTGAACTCTGCTTACCATTTCCACTTTCAGTGCAGATAATTTTTAGGCTACCCTCACTTCGGTTAGCTACAGATTAGCAGGAAAAATTCTTTTTTTGAAAACTATAATAAAAGGATGCAAAAATCTGTAATTTGTTTCTGGGTCACAATTACCTGATGATGCTTTTTGCTCCCGGGTCACAATAACCTACTGGCATTAAATGACCCATTAGGTTGATATGCCATAAAACAAACCAAGCAATTACTTGACAGCACTTTTTTTCTCTGGGGGTCACAATTACCTGCAAGTGCTTTTGTTTTTTTTTTTCTCTGGAGTCACAAAGTCAAGATTCATAGCTTTGATTATACTGCTGCAGGCTTCCCAGTGACTGGGGTAGGCAGCAGTTTCCTAGCTCTTACTCTTTCTTTCCAAGCATCTCAGTCAATTGAGCTAATGTAGGCAAGGCCACACTCTCACACATCTCTCCCAATGCAGTCCTTCCATGTCTTCCTAGGTTTAGTTCAACCTCTGTGACCAGGAACCCTGAACTTCTGATGTATAATGAAGCTAGTTCAAGACAACTAGTGTGCAGCACTGATGTTATATCCTCAATACCAAGCTTTGTTAACAACTCTGAAGTGGGGGTTTCATACTGAGGCTGGGTGCCGCAAATCCAGCAAATCAATGCCGGTACATTTTTTACTCTGGGGTCAAAATTACCTGACAACACTTTTTTTACTCCGGAGTCACAATTCATGGTTCTTTTCATGTTTTCTGCTCTAGGGGCACAGGTATGATCTGATTTCAAGAGGATGCTTATTGTGGAAAATACAAAGATGAAATGAGTCAGTGTTAAATAATATTGAATTTGGAGATAACAGGGCAAAATAGGTTTCTCTATTTAATGAAAGTGGTTTTCTTTGAAAATAGAAATTCCTATTTGTCTTTATCCTACTTTAAGAGATATTTTAGCTTGAGGTTACATTTACAGTATCCAGTGAAAAACTAACTAGCATGAGACTGATTTGTTCTCCCTGCAACACATTCACAAAAGTGCTTCAATAATTCTATAACCTGATGTATAATTATTAGCTGAATTTTGATTTGAAATTTTCACTGTATAATGTTCAATCCAATTGATTAATATCCACCACTGAATTAAGTGTATTGACAAGGAAGGAGATGACTTAAAAAATAATTGTCTATGAAGTCAGATCAATAAGTTTACAACGTGGCATGTAGCTCTGCTGAATTTTGCTAAAAAAATTTTTCACTGTATAATGAAAATTCATCCCCAAATTATATTGAAAAATGATTTTTTTTTTGTTTGAAATATATATTTTGTAGTGGATCTATTTTAGTTTTGAAGTAACATATGCAGCTGAATATTTGTGCTACATGCTTTATTCCTATGTGTATTTATATTTCAGGAAGCAGTAAGGGGAGTTTAAAAAAAAAAAAAAAAAAAAACCCATTAGTGCCATAGCTTATAAAACATCAACAATAGAAGCACCTATTTCACTAAACAACATTGTATAGAGTAAACCCTTTTTTTTTCTTTTTTTTCATTCTTAGCCATGGACTTATGTGCCAATACATATTTATTTTCTAAGTGGTGATAATTATGAACAGTACCTTTTACAACAATAGCATGTATTGAGAAAAAATTGACTTGTTTTTTGCACATGGGTTTTATTCATCTGTGCACTTAAACCTGGGGTAATGGTTAACAAGCTTGTCTCACTAGATCAATTATGACTGAATAGTGAGTTTGATACTCACTTGGAGCTCCACACTTTCAGCCTTGTGGTACATCTAAGATATTCTTAGACTATCATTTTGGGTACTTGGATGTGGTGTTAATGGTTAGCAAGCTTGTCTCACTAGATCAATTACAACTGAATAGTAACTTTGGTCTTGTGCCACATATATGCTATGCTTAGAAAATTACCATATCTTTATTCATCTTTATCTAAGATCAATGAAAATAACTATTAACACAGTCTTTTTTTTATCCATACTCTTTTAGTTAAAAGTTCCAAACACGGCTGAGAAAAAAAATCCTTTTATTGTAGTTCTTTATTAATCTTTTTAATAAAGACTTTATTTAAAATCCTTGTTTTTATTACTTTTTGTATGACTTTTTACTTTGTTCTAAAAGTCTGCTTCAATTTACTTATTTATCTTTTAATTTTTTCATTTTTAGGGAAGATGTTCACACAGGGAGAGATTATGTATATCGGGACATAAAATTTGAACAAGCCTGTATATTGTACAACATTGGTGCCTTGCATTCCATCCTTGGAGCTGCTGATACAAGAACAACTGCAGAGGTAGGTTTTGAGGTTGAGTGGCTTCAGGAAGGGTATCTGGTTGTTTAAAAATGTAAATTCTATAAGCAATAGTATCTATATACCAGAATTTATTTTCTTGTCTTTGATATATAATAGACTAGCTTAAAAGCCACCCTGTTGGATGACATTTAAACTAGCTCCTATGGAGGGCTCTTGATCAGCTTGTTCAAGAGTTTGAGAGTCCCTAAGTCTTTGCATATTCTTAACATTGGAAGCTCTCCTAGCAGCCATTTGATCTGGGTTTTCATTTGCATGGGATTTTCTTTTCCTCTCTGCAGCCTTGACTCTTTTGATTGCAATCTGGTCCTCTGTTGGTGGATATTTCTTTTTGTGCTGCTGTATGCAATAGGCATCAATAAACTGCAGAACTCAAAATTGATTGCTGCATTTAAGTATTGCATTAATATTTAAACTTACCTTTTTAAAAGTTCAATGATAGTTCTTCTGCTGCCACTTAATTTAAAGACAATTTGATATATGTAGGTCTTTACTTTCCTTACAAACAATTATTTTTATTTCATGAGTGACTTTCGCCGGATTTCATAATTAATTTTGATTATTCACAAATTTATTTCCAAGTTATAAAAATTGTTATCGTATAAAAAAAAATGTTGCAAAAAATCACACAAAAAAAAATGGCTGAAAACAATTGCAGTAATGAAAACTTATGAATCTAAAATTTCCGTAACCGTAATTTCTATTGAAAGTTAGAGATATGTCTTTTTTTAATTGAAAAAGTGACACACTAACATTCGCATTTATTATATAGATATATTTATTCAAGTTGAATCTTACATATTGTTATTTTTTTTTCTATATGAAGTAAAATTTTGTCTCTTAAGATTGTCTTAAATAATGTTGCTGTATGATCCACATACCTGGCTATATATAATTAGTGATTGTGTGATGCCACTCTATGAATATTGGTATTAGGAATAATGTAAATGACCAATATTTACCTGTCCCTGAACAAAGTGAATGCTTACAGAATCAAATCAGACTTGAGACATCTGTTGTCACAATGTGGGAAACTTAAAAAACAAAAATGACAAAAATAAAAGCAAAGCAAAACTAAATGAGATTGGCTAAACTGTGTGTCCAGACACGTCTGACCAAAAAAAAAAAAAATCTTTAAAACTCAAAAATGTAAAATTTAGCATTCACGCATCTTCCCCTTGGTAAATAATTATAATTGACACTCATGTCTATACTCCCACTTCCACACATATATAATTCCATAATTAAAAACATTACTTTAGTGGAATCTTTATAGAGGACACAACACTTTACACAGAACTTTTCCATTTGCTTAAGACTCAATTATATAAAAGAAAAAAAATTATTTTAACCAAACAAAAATTGGTATGTTGTAAAACTAACAAATCTGGCCCAAGCTTGATATTTGACTTTTATTAAAATGGTTTACAATATTAGAAATTTTAATCTGGGTATGACAATAAACTACATCTGGCAGCAAGGCCTCTGATCAGGAGGTTTTGAGGTGTTAGCACTTGTTAGGGTCCTAGCTATGGGCAAGTAGTGAAACTCCCAAAACAAATACTATCAAAGTATAAAAATGCCAGTAATATATTTTTATATATAAAAAAAAAATTATCAACAATATGTCCATACTAACAAATTGTAGTGACTTCACCCAAATCTGTTTAAAATACAATCAAACAATCAACATGAACTCATTCATGACATTAATCCATATAGTATCCTACAATTTCTGAAATCAGACTATATTCTAAAATATAACTTCAACAAAACTACAACATAAAACACACATTTCACCACCTTTAGTAATTGTGTCAACACAAACATGTATATGCACAAAAGCTGAATATCTACCATGTATTCAATTGTGAAAGCAGAATAACATATATTTTTATTACTTCCAAGCTCTCAAGAAAATTATATTTTGGCATTGAGTCATAAGGAGTTAATATGCTGTTAAGCAAATCAATTAAAAACCTTGTCTGGTCAGCAGCTTATACAAGTTGAAAACGTTGAAGAATTCCTTTAATCAAAATCAGTCATTCTTTTAAAATGAAATATGCAGTTTAACTGAAATGTTTGTGAAGTCATAGAAATCCAGGGAAATGATTTTAATGACTGAATAATGATGTTATAAATTTGTCAAAACCCATGTTGAACTTTTGTATAAACCTACTAAATTATTTTGATTTATTTTCAGGGTATGAAGGTGTCCTGCACTCATTTTCAGTGTGCTGCTTGGGCCTTTGAATACCTACGTGATTATTACACAGCTTACAGCCAGGACTTATCTCGTGAAATGATGTCCTATCATGTTAACCTTATGCTTGTAAGTTGCTGTAATAATTTCTCTTCCATTTTTTTTTTTTTTTTTTTTTTTTTTTTTTTACTTATTTTTTTAAATAATTTTTCATATTATTTTGTTTCTAAGGTAAAACTAGTTGAATTGAAATTTTGTTTTTATTTTAATTTTTAAACTTTTGGGATTATAATAGGAATGTTTTTAAGTTTAGACGGAAAAGAAATCTTCTTCCCATAGCTGTTTTATTAAAGTAAATATAATTAAAAGCTTAACGAATGTTAATTTTAGTTTTTGTTGTTTTAAGTGAGTATAATACATTAATAATATTTGAAAAAAATAATTATAATTGACCCCTAGAAATCACTACAAATCATTAGCTGAGCTGGTCATGTTACAAGGATGAGTGATGACATAATACCTAAGGTCCTCCTTAGCTTGACAGTGGACAAAGGACAGTTAGATGGCCATGACTCGGTTATCTGTCTTCTTTATGGCAATGAAGATGTGGTTCTACAGAAGGATGTTAAGGATATCATGGACCATGCATGTGAGCAACGATGAGGATGCAAACAAGGAGGAGGCTTATACTTAACATCATGAAGGGGCAGCTGAAGTTCCTGGGACACATAATGAGGAAGTAAGGCCTGGAGAATCTAATACTCATAGGTCGAATAGAAGGAAAAAGAGACAAGGAAAAACAATGCATGACATACCTAGCAGCAAAGTGGTCTGGGGGGAGGTGGCAGAGGGAAAGAACTTATTGAGAGCTGCAAGGGATAGAGGGAGGTGGAGAGCCATGATCGCCTATGTCCTGAAAGGATAGAGCACATAGAAAGAAGGAAAGATTAACCTCTCAGCTGTCAATGTGCCTTGTACTAACTTTGAGCAAGTTGCCCTGGATAGAAATAACTGGAGATATTTGTGCCAGAGTGGTATCAGAAATTTCAAAATTAATTGTATTGGCTAGCTACGAGTGTCAGCAAGTATTCCTGTGGCTATTTCCCAAGATTCTTACTGTTGCACAATAGGTGGACTTGTATGTAGATCACTAGCAGGACTGAAGTGTCAGATACAACACAAACATAAAAAATGAATGAGTTTGTCAGATCCTCATACATCAAAATCAACAGGAGAGTCCATCACACACACACACACACACACACACACACACACACACACAACGTTGATCTGAAAAGTAACATTCTTCGATGTGAGAGGCATCATCCACAGTGGGTTCTTGCCACAGAGCCAGACGATCAATCAACACATCTACAAAGAGATCTTGCAGCGTTTGTTTTGCTCAGTGTGCAAGAAGATATGAGTTGAGACAATATAAATAAATTGTGGCTGCTTAACCATGGCAATGCACCTGCTCACAACGCCCTGAGTACCCATAAGTTCCTGGCCAAGAAGAACATTGTCATACTGGAACCACCCTCCTATTCACCTGTTCTTGCTCCATGTGACTTTTTTTCTTTTCCTCAAGATCAAGATGACCTATTTTGAAGGTATGGAAGTCATCAGGACAGCTGTAACAATGGTGCTGAGAGGCATACTAGAAGAATCCTTCCAGCAATATATAGAAGCATGGTAAAGTGCATTAGACTCAAGGGGGAAACCATGTAGTTTGTTATTTGGAATTGAAATACATTGTTTGTGACACTAGTCCCGTGACTTTTCAGACCGATATCTATCTATCTATCATATATATATATATATATATATATATATATAAAATTTACTTATTTAAAAATATGATTCCATTGCTACACAAGAATTACCATGTTTCAAAAACAGAAGCTAAAAACTTCAAATTCAATTATAGAATTAAATTAAAGTCCCTAGTTCTGTTTCATTTTCAAGTGAATTTTGGAATAACTAATTTTGAAATTTACTGAGTTTTTTTAAGCACATACATTGATAATATTAGTTTCTATGGATATGGGGAAATCCAATCATTTTAACAAGGGGTTGTAGGGTATTCTTTTTCACTTACAACTATTGTATCAGCTTTCAAAAAAAGAGGTTAAGTCAAGGTAGGGTAGGGGTGCCTTTTCAAACGAATGATGACATCCATTCAACACATGTCTGCTCTTTTTCAATGACAAAAAGTTTTTCGGCACTTTTGTTTCACCATTAAATTTGTACTTGTATGCATAAAGATTTTTTCTAAAAGGGTTGTTTGTATATGAATACGTCGTATTGTACTACAATTTTAAAATATTATTGATAATTTACAACAAGTAAATTACTCCTATTTTGTTTCATATTTTTGTCTGAAGTAAGTTATTTTTATTTGTTTATTCTTTAATTAATTATGAAATAATCAGCTCATAATTGTCATAACTTTTTTTAATAATTTTAATTCCAGGCCCAAGCACAAGAGTGCATTCTGGAGAAATCAATGAGTGACAGTCGGAAGAGCACCATCACAGCCAAAGTTGCAGCAGAAATTGTTGAGTACTACAAACTGGCATTAAAGAACTTTGCTATTGGCTATGACCAAGGAATTTTAGGTTCCAGCCTATATAAGGTACTTGGTTTTAACTATACTTCCAGTATTTCATCCTTATTACTTACATACTGAAAGCAATGTGTGCAGATTTTAAACAATGAAGCATAATCTGTATTTTTCTTTGCATTTTTTTTCTTGATGTCATTTCTTGTGTTGTCTTTAATGAAAATCCTATAAAAGATGGATTGCTGCACAAATACACAATTATATATTGAGTGCTGGTGTTAATAAAATAGTGCTCAATGTAATATAACATACCTATAAATATACTTTTTTTTCCCTCACTGTTAGCACAACACAATCTTCAGGTGCTGAATTGAGTCTCAAGTCAACACCTGAAGATTGAGTTGTGCATGAGACTCCAAGTTTTGCTACCAAAAAGAAAAATGAATATATATGGCAAAAGACTGTGGCAATTTTCTGGTCCTCCTCCTTGACACTTAGATGCTGATGTTATATTTACAGGGTAGTTGTTAATCTGAAGGGTATGCTTGACGGGCTCAGTTCAAAATCCACTGTAGGTTACCCAGATCAACCTGATGAAGGCCAGAGGGCACAATGGTAGAAGTGTTGTGATAACAACAACAAAGATATATATCTGAGGGTGATGGAAGGAAGAAATATAAGAAATAATGGTTACAATTTTGCATTGAAAACACTAAAGAGATATATATATATATATATATATATATATACACACACACACACACACACACGTGTGTGATAAATTCTTTTACTCCCACTATCTATATTTTAAAGTAATTAAATTTTGAACAATCCATAAAGCATCCAACCACTTATATTAATTGAAAAACAAGTCTACCTAGGGCAATGGTACTTTGGTTTCCTTCATGGTACTCCTCTTGTGAACTCGTACATTTATCTCAATGTATATTTCATTTTCCAAAATTCTGCCAATCTTCTTTTGGGGTCGCTGTCACCTTCCTCTCTAATTTTGTTCATGGCATTTCTGTACTAATGTTTAGTCATTGTGGAAAATCCAAAAGATACAGAGAGTGAAATCTTGATGGTAAGTGAGGGCTGACAGATCTGGGTGATATATTTTGCTTTAAAAAAAAAATTTAAAAAAATAAAAAATAGCATGTGATGTGAAGGTTCTGCTGGTTCAATCATTGTGATGGGTACATTGTACATGAGCTCACTCAATGGTATCTTGCTACTGAGCCACCCCAAGGGAGAGTTTGTTCATGCATATTCAGTAAGGACCATTCTGATTGGTTTCCAAGTTCGATGAAATATGCAAAACTGGTTCTTGAGATATTCAAAATGACTAGATACATTTGTACAGCATCATACTAAATATAAAATGATTTTATAAGATATTTTTACTGACTTTATGCTTTGTTTTCTCTCTCCATCTGATTTTCTAGGCATGGAAGAAGCGAATGGAGTGCAAGATGCAATTTTACCAATGTATCAAGTACTTTTATCTTGGACAACAAGCTGATGACCATCAAAAATGGGGAGAACGGGTCACTTACTTTTCATCTGCCCATGATAAACTCCAAGAATGTTTAAAACTCTCAAAGGTACGAGCTTTTTTCTTATTGTTTCAAGTTTGGATGCACATTGTATTCTTGTATGCATTTTATCAGTGTTTTTAAAATGTGTGTATGTGATTGATAGTCAGAGCACTCTCCTTTATATAAGTACTAGTTTACCTATGTTGTCAAAAATGATATTTTCAGTATATTTTTCATTTATTATTACTGTAAACGTCTTTAAAAGTCTACCATTGTCATAAACACTTTGTCAACTGACATTGCCAGTGCAAGGGAGATTACTCTAGTACAGCAAAAAGTTTAGGCTGTACAGACAAAAAAACACTTAGTGTATTATATACTAAAATTTATTATTATTTCAATCCTCACTGATTTAGACTAGTGTAACCGAACTTGTCTGCTCATTTGACTGTGGTGAAAATCTTATTTGTACCTGCCTTTTTTGACTGTGGTGTAAACCCGGATTCATGCCTGCCTGCCTGCCTTTTGACTGTGGTTATGCCATCTGAACTTATATCTGTATTTTGACTCTCATATAAACCAGACATGTTCCGGCTCTTTTGACTTTAGTGCCAGTTGGACCTGTGTCTGCTTTTCTATTATTTTTTTGTGATTTTTCTCTAAAATTAAATGAATTGACAAGAATTGATATAACATTAAATTAAGCATCCTAAACTTAAGAATATTATGCCTCTAACTTCTACCTGAGATAGACAATATGCAGAAGTGACTTTTTTTTTTCTTTTCTTTTTTTTTTTTGCATTTTTCTCCTCCGATATAATAACTTGTTTAGTGTTGCTGTAATTCAGTGGTTCCCAAACTTTTATTTTCTCCAGGCTACATTTTTGTAATGAAAATTTGCTCGTGCCTCACCAAATTTTACGTAATAAAAAGTACATTTAAAAATAAAAAAAATAGAGAGGGGGAGTTGCAGGGAGATAACTGCAGATTCAAAGTCCAAACATTATCATTGATAACTCTCTCCTCCAATTTGATGATCCTAGTTACTATATTCTTAATACCTGATATAATGCAAAAATATCACAATGATAAAATCAGTCAATAATTATTTATAACTATTTATGCTGGAACTCATGCTTGCAATCACAAGTAATCCATAAAATATTTAAAATTTTGATTTCAGATTTATCTTTGGCATATGAATTTTTTCAAACTGTTTCTAAATCTTTGTCTTTCAATCATTCTGCCTCACCTGCTGTCCTCTTCCATTGCACTGTTTGAGAACCACAGTCTTAGCATCTTCCTTCTTCTTCTCATTATTATTATTATTATTATTATTGCCCCTTCTTTATTATAACATTAACTTTTTCAGGATGAAGAAGATGATATACATGAACCCCTACAGTTTACATATGATGTTGTTGTAGGAAAGTAAGTGAATTTTATCTTTGTTTCCCATATCCGATAAGGTGTAATTTGCTAACATTTAATCCCTTGTTATTTCTTGTAATTTATTTATTTTTTTATTTTTTTATTTTTTTTATTTTATTTTTTTTTTTTTGACAAATTTTAAAAAGATTTTGTTTTGTCTCTTTTTAATCATAAAAATGTGCTGAAGAATTATTGCAACCCTGCCTAACAAAATCAGTAATATTGTTACTATAAAAAAAAAGAACACATTATACAAAATGTAAACTCATTAATATATTTACAGTGATTATTTGCTTCTATCTTTTGTTCTTTTTCTCTAGATTTAATTCAGCTAAGAAAGACAATGATTTTATCTACCATGAAAAAGTTCCAGCTTTAGATAGTCTTCCTGAAGTAAAAGGTAAAAAACATTAACTATTTTTATGCAAGACATTTCACTTTTATTCATCAACAGAATCTTTCTTACGTCCTTTCCATCTTTGTCCATATTTTAGCTTTCCATCTTTGTCCATATTTTAGCTTTCCATCTTTGTCCATATTTTAGCTTTCCATCTTTGTCCATATTTTAGCTTTCCATCTTTGTCCATATTTTAGCTTTCCATCTTTGTCCATATTTTAGCTTTCTATTTTTTTAAATTTCTTTTATTCCATCTTAAAACATTTTACTCTTCTATTGAAATTTGTTCTTCCATTAACCATCTCTCCCTAATCCTCTTATATATGTATTTTTTTCTCAATCTACCTTCTACTCCACATAGGGCTTTGTCTGCAAAAAGAGTGATTAAAGATTCAGATATTTATCAATCGTCTTCATTTTCTTTTATCTTGGGAGTTCCAAATTATGCTACAGAATTTGCATATCCCAATTGGTTGTCTTGGTTAATACAAGGGCAAGCTTTATGGCTTCAACAGACTTTAAGATTACACCATTCTTTGATGTATATTTTGGAATAGAATATTTTTCTTTTTCATATTGGAAGTGTTAATCTGATTTTCAACCCCACTCCCTCACCGACTCTTTATGTTAAGTGATAAGACAAATGATGCATTCTGGGTTCAATTGGTGTTGTAACCTAGGAAATGTCACTGGATAGAATAATCACATGGAGGTTGGTAATGAACAATAATACTTGGGACAAGAACAACACATAAGCTTTGCCAGCAGTAGAGGAAGTAGTCAACTGCTAGAAGTGAGTCAAGTGAATTCCATAATGAATCTCCAACTGCAGACCAACATACATTATTTACTACTGTATTTATATGAATGGGGACATAGCATTATCATCCGTAGGTATGCTAAAACAATTGGCAATGATGGAAGGTCTTTGAGGCATTGAATTGACCAGCCAGTTCTTCACTACAACACACACACACACTGAGTTGATGCACTTAGATCAAAGGAGAGATCGGCTTCCAAGCTCTGGTCCTCAAGGGTTTTGGAGGTGCACCCATATACCATTGTATCACCATCATAGATATTCACAAATGATTGAAAGTATACTCTTAGGCAGATCATTTATGTAGAATAGGAAGAAGGTTTAACCAAGACGCAAACCTTGAGGGATGTCTGCATTGATCATCTGGGATTCTGAGAACTGGCCATTAACAACTATTTTCAGGGACTTACCTGTCAAAACTTTATAACTGAGAAAACTCTTCTAATGACTCTATAGCTACAGAGCTTGAGCCATATACCTTATGTTACACCTTGTCAAAGGTCTTTGAAATATCAAATTTTGACTGTCCTTGAGATGTATTTATTGTCAAGTATGTAAATATCAAAAGTAGACACTGAGGTGAACACCAAGTGTTCACAATCTTCAGGCCATTTATGTTTTGGCTTGACTATTTTATATAATTTATATAATAATTTGAAACATAGCTGTTACTACCAACCCAATAACCATTAGAATAATACAATAGACCTTGCTACACATAATGCACCATTATGTAGCATATATAGTCAAGCTAAAACAACACACATGACTTGAAGATTGCATATATATATATATATATATATATATATATATAGGCAATAAGAATTAATACTAACAAGCTTTGTTAAATCCAACTGACATAGGTCTATTTAATTTTTATTGTATTTTTCCAATTTTGAATAAGTTCATACAACATTTATCAAAATTGTGGATAAAGTGTCCAAAGTTCATGTTTTGTTCTGTTAAAGTAATTTCAATTGTTTCAGCAGTCATTATCAGGAAACAGTTGAACATATCAATCATCATATTACAAACAACTAAAATACAATTATCAACATGACTAATATTCAAAGATAAGACAGAAATACTATACAGTACAAGGTTGGGCTAAAAAGTTCATATGCTGACTATGAAGGAGTGATGCCAGAGCTGTGAAATCTTGCATGCATTAATTTCAACTCTTCTTATTAATAACTGCATTGTTTATTTCCAGGCAAATAGACATCTGACTGTTGAAAGAAGACTCTTGTACCTGTTGGTAAAAAAAAAAGTCATCAGCAGCAGATATATCATCATCACTCTGTGACTAGTTCCCAGCCAAGTGTTTTTTCATGTTGGGGGACAGAGGATAGTCAAATCGGGAGAATAGGCAGTGTCATCAACCAGTTCAAAGCTAGTCATGCACAGAAGCTATTGAAACCAAGGACTTGTATGCTGGAGCATTGTCCTGATGAAACAAGACCCTTTTTGCCAGTTTTCCTGGATGTTTGGTCTTGATAGCAATTTCATAATTGTCTCAGCAAGTTGGCATAGTACTCTCCATGGATGATGTGGCTCTTTTGAAGGTAGTCAATAAACAGAATGCCTTTTGCATTCCAAAAAACTGAGTCCATCACCTTCCCTTGGAAATGAAATGATCCTGGCCTTCTTTGGAACAGGTGAGGAGGGTTTTTTCTATTGCATGGATTGTCTTTTGTTTGGCTCAAAATGCTGACCACAACACACATCCTGTGTTAGGAAACATTCAAGGAAACCAGCTGAATCTGCATCAAACAATGTCAGATTTTCCTGTGACGTGATCAGCCTTGTGCGCTTTTGATCTGGTGTCAGAAGAGGTGGCACTCACCAAGCAGAAACTTTTGTCATGTCAAGTTCATTGTGCAGAATATTCTCAACTCTCTTGTGTGATATGCTAATAGCATTGGCTATTTGATTTATAGTCAATCACCTGTCATCCATCACCATGTGGTGAACATGATCAATGTTTTCCTCAGTGGTAGCAGTTGCAAGATGTACAGACCTTGGGTCATCTTCATAAAAAAAAAAAAAAACTGTACTGTCCTCTTCTAAATTCAGCTGCTCACTTTTGCACTGTTGATAAAGCTGGAGTGTCATTTCCTGACATAGCAACCATGTCAGCATAAATGTCCTTGGGGCTATACCTTTTTTCTGGAGGTACTTGATAAACCACAATGCCAGATTTTGTCCATTTTCAAGAAAAGTTACTACTAGTTACTTTTGAAGTCTTCAAACAGTCAGCTGTCAGTTTACCTGGAAATAATGCAGTTATTAAGAAGAGCTGAAATTAATGCATAGAAATTTCACTAGTCTAGTGTCACTTCTTCATAGCCAGCCTATATCTCAGCTCTTCCACGTATCTGTGATCAATATAAGCATTTTTAAAGTGACTATTTCAGTCTGTTCTCATCTCTTTGTCATCATTGAAGATTCTTTATTTTCTTTTATATGCTATGTCCCTTCATGACAGGGTTGCTCATGGCTCACCACAAATCTCTGTCTTTTGTTACTCAAAGTAACTTTTTGATTCTTTATCATCCTTCTTAGTCCTTGTTCTGACATCTATTCACGTTTCATGATCTAGTTGATCATGGTTCTCCACAGTTTCCTATATTTGGTTGTTCTAAAGTAATTTTTAAGTCTTTACTATCCAACTTTGTCCTTGTTCTATCATCTCTTCACCATGCAAGATTTCACAGTTCTAGCATCAATTCCTTTATAGTCAGCCTGTGAATTTTCAGCCCATCCTTGTACTCGCTGTAAGGAAAAACTCAAAATTCAAATAGCTATTATTTTACAAAACAACCCACATTAAAAAAAAAAAAAAAAAAAAAAGTATATTTTACCACAGGTGACCATTCTTTGTTTGTATAATATGACACGTTTGGTGGAAGAAGGGCGTATTAAACATTTGATAATTTTGTGGCAATACACGCTTAAAGGTTTTAGGCAGTTTTGATCACCAGTTCTTTTCATGGTCAGCCGTAAAAAATAGTAAATGTAGGACTACTTTACACTTAAGTAAAATAATAATATTTAATAAGAATTTATTGCAGGAAATATCAAGTTTTATGGAAACATTGTTGACAATTATGTATTTAGTTACATAACAAATAAATAAAAATAATATAAATCTTGATGCTATGTTTGATTTGTTGTTAGGTATTTTTCATTTTCTCCTTTGATATTGGCAGCATTTTTGAATACTTTGGCTGCAACGTTAAGTTTCCAGTCATTTTGATGGGTAATAGCAAAATTCTGAAATTTAGAATGATCAAAATTTCAAAAATAGAACCTGTAAAAAGGAATGTTTCAAATTAATATATGACCAAAAATAAAATGCTTTTGACAAAACCTTAATGATTTCACTATAATTAACAATAATTTAATGATATTCCACAGACAAATCTACAGTTTATGTTACCTCATCTCATTGTATAGTTATGAGCTATAAACCTAAATTGAGCTTGAAATATTGTGTAATCGGCTCTAATATTTTGTAAAATACTTGGATATGATATAATGGATAATTTGCAGTGAAAAAAGCAATTTTTTATTTTTTTTTAATTTTTTTTTTTATTGAATACACCCCTCCTCCACTGAACGTGTCATATATAGTATTCATACAGAAGGTGTATAAATATTTGATACATTCTTTTCTTGTGTAGTCTAGTACCCTGTAAATATTTTTATACATGACACCACTTTTGGATTAATTTGAATCTCGGCATTCCATGAAATACCAGGATGTAGCAAAGAAAAATCTTGTCTACCATATTGATAACACTCAGTTCTTAATTGAACAAGAACATAAACATTGAACAGTTTATCCACAATTTTGATCCTGACATACAATATCTTATATATAGACATAATCAATAATCATCAGATCATATGTGTTGTGTTTTGCTCAACTATTTATATATATATATATATATATATATATATGCTGGTCACTGGTATATATATATATATATATATATATATATATATATATATATATGTCACTGGTGCATATATATATATATATATATATATATATATATATATATATATATATATATATGTGGTCACTAGTGCATTATAGGTAGGTCTATTGCGTTATTCTAATGGTTATTGGGTGAGTGGTAATGGTTATGTTTCAAATTAGTCTAGAGGGTGGAAATAATTGTGGATCTGAATGAAGTTTTGTGGTTATTTTATAGTGCTGTTAACTTTTTTTTTTTTTTTACTCATTATTGATTATTAATTACTTCATTATTTGTTGATTGATTGTTATTATTACATTTACTTGTGCTTATGTGTGCATTTGTAGTTTGTTAATTTGTTTATCAGTTACTTTAATTAATTAGTTTATTGATTTGGATTAATAGACCTAACCATAATGCACTACTGACCCTTATATATATAAATAGTTGAGCTAAAACACAACACATGGCCTGATGATTTTGTTCAGTCATGAAACAGACTCCTGCTGCTGGTTCTTGACTTCAATGTCTAAAAACACACACACACACAAACAGGGACACTATAAAGACTGTGCATGCTCAGTGTAAAATTTAAAAAACATGCAAAACGGAGACAGTATAAAATATAAGTAAAACACATCTTGTTCAAACTGTTGATTATGGTAGATTATACACTCTCTCTCAGAAACTATAGCTAACATCTGCTATGCATAGATGTAGTATAAACCACAGGTGGACTATATGGGTGTTGAACAAACAATGTTCCTGAACAGGTGTTTGTAACAGGGATTAGCTAGCCACCCTAGTAGATGTGTGTCTCTGGAAACTACTAGCCAGTCCTCAATATATAATCATATAAAATGATTAGTTTGGTGATATCTTAACCTCTTCAAGTTATTATCTATCCTCATAATTTTCTCTTCCTACCACCTTCTTTCATTCTTTTCACATACCTCATTCATCATTTAATAGTAAGCCTCTCCCTTGAGTGGTTCTCGAACCTTGTATTGAGTGAAATTTAGTATGAAAACAAAAGATACTCATGTTACTGCTTTCTGCAATGGAAAGTTGCTAAGTGTCCACATAAAACTTTTAAGTTATGGAAGGCAGTAACATATAAGTATTGTTTTACTAATATAATCTCCAAACAAGTCTGTTAAGATTTTTATTACATTTTTTTTTTTTTTTTTTTTTTTGAAGAAGGTGTATATTGTGATAAAAATTGTGAATAAACTTTGATGTTCACTTTAAGATCTGTATCAACATATTTAACTCCATAAAACTAACCTTGTATCATATAAAAGATTTCCTAAGAAACTTTCAAACAGTTTGTGTTTTTTTTTTTTTCTTTCTTCCTGGCACCTTTTTTGAGTAAATTGGCATATCTGTTTACTAAGATTTTTTTCACTTGAATAATATTAGCCATATTTTAATTTTCTTTTTTTCTTTTCCTGCAGGTGCTTCTTTGGTCAAAGGAATTCCATTTAATCCAAATGATCCTGAAGTATCAGGTCCAGATATTTTTCAAAAATTGGTTCCCATGGAAGCACATGAAGCTGCCTCCTTATATAGGTGAGTGGGCATTGGATTCAGTTCTCTGACAAACTGGATCTTGTTTAGAAATAAAACTTTCAAAATTCTAAAAACAATCCAGAACTTCTTATAGTAGTTTGCTTCTTACTTTTTTTTTTCTCTCTTTACTCTTCTTTCTCTTCTTTTTTAAAGCGATTAATAAAAGATAAAGTTAATAAATTGATTTTTTAAAGTATTTTTCTTTAATATTTTCTAATGATATTTTTCCCAGTTATATATTAAGTTTTTTTTTTTTTTTTTTTTTTTTTTTTTTTTCAGGATACATAAATACCATCTCATATTTTAAAATGTTTTCTTTTAGTGAAGAAAAAACAAAAGATTTCTGAAGATTGACAGGTCTTATAGAAGAGAAAACCAAGACCTTGAGTAAGTATTGCTTCTGGTTATGTATATGTGCATTCCTTTCTCTGTGTGTGTATATATATATATATATATATATATATATATATATATATATAAAAACACACTCACATCTGCAACCTTTGTCAACAAGGAAAATTAACTATTATAACATTTTCAGACCAAAAATAACCTTTTAAACCACAGATCAGAAATTATGTCACTTTGTATACATACTAAAAAAGTTCCTTTTGAGTTCATTTGAAGTGGGATAAAAAGAACCTGTGTATATTTCATTTAATCCCCCACCAATATATTTCCAGTACACTTGACTTCCCCCTCCTCTTACCCCTCACCTTCTACCACACCTCATGTCATGCGCTTATTCATTCATTTATATATATATATATATATATATATATATATATATATTTTTTTTTTTTTTTTTTTTTTAAATATAGCGTTCATAAATTTTTTTATTTTTAAAAAAAATAAAGCATTAGAAAATAAATTAACCAAAATCACCTGAAGATACTGAAGGGTTGAAATCAATGTAGCGGAATTGGCTGATTTCCTAATTTTCTATTCTTGGGGATTTTAGAAAAGGAAAAATTAAAAAGAAGACATGGTTTTCATTGTTTCCTTCAGTTCTTTTAGGTGAAGAATGAAACAATGGTTCCCAGATGATCACTGAAGTTAAGCAATGTTGAGCCTCGTCAATACATAGATTGGTAACCACTTTGGAATACTAGGTGCTATAAGCTTGGATGTGAAGGTGGTGTAATGGATAATGGCTCAGAATTTTTAATTGGAGAGCTGAGTACCAATTCCTTTTGGGTTTGTTATATTCACATATGCGCAAATACTTTTGGGAAAGGTACGAATTCATTTCCCCCAGCTATGGGTTAGTTAGTAAAACTTGTATCACTAAATCATTATCTCTAAAATAAAACAAAATTTTTACACTCTAAAAATATTTTATGGCTTTAAATAACCTGCAAAAGGTTGATAAGCCATAGAAAATGAATCAATAAAAAAAAATAATTTCAAAGTTAAAAAAAGAAAGAAACAGGAAAAAATATACATGTGTGTTTCCCAGACTCTCTCTCTCTCTGTCACACCCCTCTTGTATAATTAAATAATACTTTTATGTGCCATGTCCCTTCAAGACATTGGCAATAATGGCTCTCCACAGTTTCCTGTCCTTTGTAGCTCTTTATTTTTGTTATCACTCATAAATTATGTTTTACCTTCTATTTACTCAAGCTTGCTAGGAAGGTTATGCATTGCTTTCCTCTGTCCCTTTAATATCAAATTTTCCAAGCCCTCTTTCCTCATTATGTGCCCTAGAAATTCCAACTTTCTCTTCTTTATGTTAAGTATAAATGTCTTTTTTGTTTTCATTTTCTCTAAAACTTTGTTGTTGCTCATAGAAATGGTAGCTACAATTTTTAAATTAACACTAATTGTAAACACTCAATTGATAAAAAAATTTATTAAGGACTGTCAGCTTATTCTTGAGTTATCTTGTTGATTCATGCACAAAAATATTATTCTGGGATTTCTTTTTCTTTTTAAGACATTTTCTTACCTCACTCCAACTGAATGAGAATATGCTTGATCCAGAAGCAGGCCGTCTCCCCCAGGATTTGTTAGAGCGGTGTGCAGCCATCAGTGTACGTCCAAATGCCATCAAAGATTTGGTTGACTCTATGGGCAGTAAGTAATGCTTGTTTACATAAGTAATGCTTGTTTACATGTACATGATCATTTTTTTTTTTTTTTTTTTTTTTTTTTTGCTGGATGTGCAGGGGAAAAAGAAAAAATTGTAAAAGCTGGTTATTATATTCCTAGTAACATGTGTCTAAGTTTGCTAAAAATTAAGTTGTGCTTTAACTATTAATAACCATATTGTCCTCAGTTTGTGGAAAAACTCAAAAATGTTTTACCGCCATTAAACATAGACTGTTGTTGTCAAAAAAAAAAAAAAAAAGTTGAAGATCTTGTTGGAGGTGCATAATTTAATTAAAGCAAGTAGCAAACAAGTCAGACATAATTAAAATGAAGGTAAAAGGCAAGAAAACAATTCCAATAATTTAAGTGGTTATTGCTCCTCACTCTTCAAAAATTGAAGAGTAATAACCAGCTAGCTCACACATTTTTTCTTTCTAGTTTTTTTTTTTTGTATTAAATTTCTGCAGTTGTTTTCTCCTTCTACCTTCATTTTAATTATGTCCGTCCTATTTGCTGTATATAAACAAAAGAAAAAAGTTGTTTTTTTTTCTTGTTCAAGAGTTCAACCTCATTTTTAATAATTTTCTATAGAACATTTCTATAGAAAACTATTTTAGACAAAAAATTTTCAGCAACTTCTCATATAGAGGCCTTGCATAATTTATCATTTGCTATGCAAGATGGGTGACTTCCTCAGATGTCTAGGATACTGGCTGTTACTGCTGTTAAATCTCATGCCATGAAGCCCTTCCACCTACAAGAGCCACCTTGTCTTTCCAACACTCACAGTCTTGGAATATCCTCCATCTGTTAGAGAACCTGATGAACATCATTCTAGTGGCTTTGTGATCTGCAACGAAGTTGTCTCCTGTTTGTAGTTGTTGATGGGTCAAACTGATACTATGGTAAGGGTGGTCATTTGGTTGTCACAGAATGTGACCAAGCCAATGAACATGGTGCTGAGTGTGTGGCCCATCATCAAAAGCAGTGACCCTGTTGAGTTCATTACATCTTTTCATATACTTGGGCTGAGAAGTTTCCAATATCAGTAAACTCTTCAGGGAGATCAACAGAAGCTGTGGCCGAGCTGCAATTGTCATGAGAGGCCTCCGGAGATTATTATGGCGACATTGGAATATCTCCCAACACACCAAATTACAAGTGTATGACACCACTGTTCTCTTTGTGCTACTACATGGTGCCGAAACATGACCTCTTGGCAAGACACACGTCTCCTAAATCTATGGTTTTGAGTCTTGCAACCCCAGGACCATTGATGAGATGCACTGATTTGATCAATGAGAATGTTACTGGACTTCTGATATTTATTAACAAATGAAGTTGTTATATCCACTAATTGTATAGCCTATCCATTGTGTGGCTGAAAAGTTTTAGTTTATCTAAAAAAAAAAAAAAAATTCTTTTTATACTTTCTATAACTCAATTGTCTTCTTTTATTGCTTAGAGGTGTCTGGAGTTGCTACTGATGTTGAAATGGGAATTGAAGAAATTGAAAAACTAATTGCCAAGGAGATAGAGCTTGAAGAGGAATTTGAAGTAAGCATAACATTTAAATTTATTTTATATTCTCTAATTACTAGTATATCACCAGGTGTTTTCTTAGTAATATACTAATGATGAATCAGATTCAACAAACATTATAGTATATTTTCTGCAGTGTGTAAGATTTTTGTCATTTAAGCAAAATTGTTAAATAATCAGTAAATTCAACATCATTGAATGTCTGTCATATTTGATGAAATCATGAAAAGGAGATTCATCTAGGTTTGGTGGTTTGAATCATATGATGGCTATGTCTCCAAACAATGCTCACTAGTAACTAGCTGGCCTTGGTGCTTCAATAGTTACTACTCCTGTATGAAGCATTTGGTACCATGCAGAGTGGTCTGTAGCCAGCTCTTCCCAGTTCTTTATATTGATCTGCATCGTTTTCAGTTCTCTCTTGATGCAGTCTTTATAGTGGAGTCTTTGACCACATCACTGTTGCTTCTCACACTTTAGTTCACCATAAAGAGAGAGGTTTTTTTTTTGCAATTGATTGTTGTCCAAATGATAGACATACCTAGTCCAACATTTTCTCAGGGTTTCTACAATTGACATGTTTGCTCTGGTCAGGACTTTGGTGTTAGGGACATTGTCTTTCCACAAGATTTGCATGATGTAGCACAAATAGCAGCACTGTAAACATGTCAATCAGTAAATTGGAGACACCAAAATAGTAAAAAATAAAAAAAATTAATATCTAGGATGTTTTAACAGAGGATAGAAAATGCAAAACTGGGATAGTGAAAGATGCCTTCCAAATGTTAAGCACATTATTAAGAAACAGAAAAATTTTGTTAGAAACAAAGAAAAGAATACTGGACTGTTATGTAATATCAGTCCTCCTATATGGCAGTGAATACAGAACAATCTCCTCACAAATGAAGATACTAGAGGCAACAGATGTGGTTCTACAGAAGGATACTTAGAATGGCCTGAACAGGTGAGTAACGATGAAATTTTAGAGAAAACAGATACAAAAAGGAAACATGCATAGAATCAGAAAGACAGTTGAAATTTCTAGGACACATAATAAGGAAAGAGGGCCTGGAAAATTTGGCACTCACAGGACATGTTGAAGGTAAGAGAGATAGAGAGGAGCAGAGCATAACCTCCCTAACATGCTTGTGTAAATGGCTGTCAGGATAGAGATTAGGAGTTAGCAAAAAGACAATAGGACCCAATTTGTTCTGCTATTTAACTCGTATCTGGGAGAAGAGATGGATTCATACCTTTCCCAAGGGTATTTGTGTATAAGTGAATGTAAACTAACCTGACTGAGATTTGAACTCAGCTCTCTGATTTCTCTTTCCAAGCTGTTATCCATTACACCACACTGCACATCTCAGTATGTACACACGCAGTGGATAAAATAACAGGACAGACTGGGTGGCAACTGTCTAGGAGAAAGTAACTCTGAATTCAAAACTGTATGTAGCCCTGGCATAGTATATACTATACAGCTAAAGAAAGGATCATTCACATTGGTTCAATGATCCTGACTACAGTCAAAGGATGATAATGTACACATTCCTAAAACAAAAAAAAAATATTTGCGATGGTTTGGACATGTTATTTAAATGGATGGCTGTCAAAGTGATTTTAACTGACTTGGCCAGAACTTGAACTCTGTTCTCCAATTTTACTCTTCACACTGATAACTGTTATGTTACACTATACACATCTCCTTATTATACAATAGTCTTATAATAATAATAATAGTGACTATTTATATATAAAATTCCATGATTTTCATTAGTCCATCCACCACATCCTCTAAAATAGTCATACATTGAGTGATTGAAACCAAATTTTGCGGAGAAGTCAAACAGGTAAGGGGGTACAAAGAGCAGTTGGTTTTACTAGGGTGCATAGCTTAGTACAATAAATTTTCATTAACTTTTGAGGAAAAATTAAGTTTTATTATTTAATATACAAAATACTGCTACTATTTAAAAAAAAATTGATTAAAATAACAAATACTTATTTGATAAAAATGCAATATTTTTTGCATATCTTTTAAGTTATATATATATATATATATGAGAATCCAGTTTCCAGTTTGCTCTGCATTTGTGAGAACTATAAACAAATCACAAAGCCAAATGCTTCAGAAAGTTGGAATTTAACTCTAGAAAGAAATATTTACACATGATATGTTGCATGCTCAAGAGTAAGAAATCCTAAGAATTTATTCTTCACTGTTAAAAAGGGAAAAAAATAAATTTTCTTAAAAAAAAAAATATTTTTTATCTAGAAGTCCTATAAAATTAAAGAAATCATTAAACCACAAAGTAGGGTTTTTGTCAAAGTATTTTTCCAAATAAATCCACTTATTCAAATTTCAGTGATTTGTTTGCAAAATTGAATGCAGTGTAGAGTTTGTAAATCTCAAAAAAAAAAAATGTTAGCGATAATGTCAATACTAAATACTGTGAGGATTTTGACACTTGTCAGCATGTCTAAAAAAAAAAAAAAAATTATAGTTCTCAAAATTACGGACTGTATCTTAATGCAGAAATGATTCAATGTAAACTTTCTTTGTAGCTTTTACTTTTCTTATTATTTTATGTTAATCCTGCTTGAAGAAAAGGTTGCTTCATACTAGCAAAAAAAAAAATCTCATTATCTTTTGTTTGTCTTTTCCAGAAAATGTTTGGTAAACGACCGCCAATGAAGATTATAAATCAAATCCAAAAGGATTGTGAATTATACAAATCTGGCCACGTTCGGGGCAGTCAGTCAAACAAGGAACTCCATAAGGCAATGAATGCCCATGTAGCCAATCTAAAGTTACTTAGTGGACCGATTGAAGACTTACAGAACTCTTTGCCAAAATTCGATAGTATTAAAAGTAAGTTTTTCTGCACATTTATCTCAAGAAATTCTTTCTTTCTCTCAAAATTAAATTGAACTAGCAATTGTTCTATTTTTGTATTTTTCATCAGATCCTGAAGATGAGGCAATCATGAAGGAACTCCAGAAACTGTTGGCAAAGGTAGAGGAAATGAAGAATCAGCGTGCCATGTTAGAAGATCAGTTTCGTACCAAATTGCGAGAGGATGATATTACTAATGTTCTTGTCACACAAGAGACAAACAAACAGGTGCGTATAAAAGTTTCTCGCCTGAAAAGAAAAAAAAATGATGTCCTTTCTAATGCTTTCTTTCTTTCTATAGTGATGTCTGTCCTGTACAAGGCCTGGAGGGCACTCAAGATAGAGGGTTATATTAAGAGGCAGTGTATATGTATCGGAGAGGAAGATAACAGTTAACCCAAGACTTGAACAGGTTAAGCTTAAAGTGATCAGGGGAAACATCCTCTTGTTTGTTGGTTCCACAGAGCAATGTTTCATGAGAAGGAACTGTTTAAGAGGAACTTCTTACCAATGGAATAGAGAGGGAATGTGGGTGGTTCGCTACAAGGTAAATGGCATGGTGGGTCCTAGCAATGACAGGACTGGCAGAACCAAGTGGCTCGTCTGAACACTTTCTAGTAGTAATAGTCTTAAGTTGTGTAGATTTCTTAAATGAAGCATTATTATTAATTTTTGAATAGTTTTCTTATTTCTCTTGTTTCTTTACACCTAGTAGTACTAGTAGTCACCTTAAGTTGTGTGAATTTCTTAAATAAAACATTGTCATTATTATTAATTTTTGACTAGTCTGTCTCAACTTACTTCTTTCTCTTTTTTTTTTATTTCTGATTCATACTATTTTCTAACAATCATGTTATGATAAAAAGTAACAGAAGTAAAAGAAAATCTAGTTAGAAATGAATAATTAACAATTAGGGAGGACAAAAATTTTTTCGGAAGAATATTGGCATGGAGATGATTCTAAGTTTATAGACTATAAACTTCCATGGCATTGCAAAAAGACTGCATTTTGCAAACTCTAGTGGAATATGGCATAAGGTCTTTGTTGTGACCAAGTAATTGGTTAAAGAATAACAAAAGAGGTTGCAGATAAATAGTGTATTGAACAGTAAATACAACACAAGTGTGTTACACGACTTGGGAGTGTGTGTCGGTTGACCAGCGTTCAGTCTATATCACTGTTCCCTCAAGGCCTACTTTTCCTACTAACTTTATAGTAAGTGGAAGAGTCCACAACAGTCTTTTTTAAAGGCATTGGTAACAAAAATTACTAAATTTCCTCATCACTCCTTTATAAGGGCATATCAGGCAGTATAGATTGATACTGAACTCTCCCTTCTTAGGGTAATGTATGAGATGCTGCCTGAATGATGTTCCCTTGTGGTTAAATGTTGTAGCATATCTATGGATGATAATGGGTATGTCCCCATTCACATAAATACAGTAGTAAATACTGTATGTTAGTCTGCAGTTGGAGATTCGTCTCCAGCTGTGCTGGTCAAACTCTCCACCTCTGGGCAGAGAGGATCCCCAGTCTAGGCTATGTTGAAGGGCAGAGTCTCATCTCAGAGAAACAACTACCCAACCCCATTTATACAGGCTCTATGGGGAATTTTTGGCTGAGCCTACGGGCTCAGATACCCCACATTAAATTCAGCCTTGTGCCATATCTGATCATGTGGGGTGGTTGGTAGATATCCTGCAGTTGGAGATTCATTGTGGAATTCATATGACTCACATCTAGCAGTTCACTACTTCTTTTATGCACTGCTGACAAATCTTGTATGTGTTGTTCTTGTCCTAAGTATTATTGTGCATTAACAACCTTCATTTGATTATTCTATTCAGTAACCTTCCCTGGGTTACAACATTAAGTATGTTCTGTTTTGAATCAAACCCAACCAGAAATGATTAGGGTAAATTGCAAAAGAAATTACTAACCTCTTTTGTGCTGACCTCTTTCCATGGACCTTCACTCTGTGGAGGGGTTGTTCTCTTCTCCATGATCTTCTAATGACTTCTTTCCATGCATTCTCTTTTGTGCTGAGCTCTTTCCATCTGTCCTCTTCTGTACTGACCACTTTTCATTCACCTTCTCTCTGTGAAGGGCATGTTGATTTGAAGGATGTTTTCACATACACACCAGTTGTGATAGATAAACATGTTTGATTATTTAAGAATAGATTTAATAAAGGTTGGTGATGTAATATAGTATTTTTGATGTGTGCTTATAGTTGGTAAAATACTTAACAGGACTCCCTCAAAGTATTTTCAATGTAAAGAATTATATTCTTTTTTAATTAGGGTGGCATTTGTAAAATCAGAGTTATGGCCAGTTTTGTTCCTGTGTATTAAAAGCAAGTTTAAAGGGTTGTCCCAATGTACATCCCTTTTATGTTCATAGATACAGGCTTTTAAATTTCAGATGTGTTGCCAATGTAAGTATTTTTACATTGCAAGCACTTTATTTGATAAATCCCAGCATCTGAAGTGGTGTGAAATTTATTTTTCTTCGTAATAATATTCTTGCTTATCTTGGAGATGCTGGTAAAGACCCTAGACAACCACTAAACATAAATAATACCTACTAGACATACACACATTTGAATATACATTAACATCTGAATCCCACACAAACTAAAATTATGATATACTTACATACATCAAGCAATAGTTATGTTCTTACAGTTAAGCTTAGAATCCATTAATTTTTTCGAGCTTTGGAGGAACACATCATCTCTCATTGAGTTCAGAATGTGTTATATACCTGTTAATATTCACAGGTATGGTATGTCCCAATCCTCATAAATATGTTGGACACTATTGTAAGTGGGGGGTAATATGCTTTTTAAGTAGTCCACCACTAGTAGTGGTGTACCTACTTCACGCCGCTGGAGAGCATTGTATTTTGTTGTTATAAAGATTACCATTTCATTTCCAACCTCCATTTTGGTTATTCCTCATTCAGTAACCCTTTCTAGGTTACAACAGAATGCCATAAAATTATACACACAAATGCTGCTTAACATTTCAAATGCACATGAAGCCTGTTTAACCAATGAAAATCAAACAACAAAAAATTAATACATTTTTTCTCCATATCTCATTATCTGATGAAGCTTTAATAAAATATATATTTATATTGAAACACTTGTTTTGTAAAAAAAATTCCATAACTACAATGGATAAAGTTTAAAATTCTAAAATATCTATAACAGAATGCATTTGCACTTAAAAAAAAAAATTACTATGACAATGAAATGCAGACTTTATTAGAGTTATAATAGCATGTTTGTCATTGTAATTTAGCCCTGAAGATGATCTTAGAAAAGGTCAAAATTATTTGGGTTGGAAAAACTATGACACCTTCCTTGATTAATTTCATCTTAACATCAAGATACTGCTTAGACAACTGGAAAGGATCAGTATAAAAATAAATAGACACTATATTATTCAATGAAACCTGTTTGAATGAAGATATGCTGCATATATATATATATATATATATATATATATATATATATATATATATATATATGCATACACACACAAAACATTTTTCATTAATCATCTGATGAAGCCATATAGGTGAAATGCATTATTAGATATTATTTTTGAAACATACTTTCATGAACATTTTTCCAAATGTCAATAACTTATAAATCTGTCAGGATTACATACCCAAAGTTTTTATATATCAGGTCATCCCATAAGTTATGTCCGAATTTTGAATAAAGAAAACAAGTGACCAAATGTTACATTTAATTACAGATTCAATCAACAATGTATTTTCCCTGATTATCTATGACTTCCTTCCATCTATTAACAAGATTACTAATTCCATTACTGTAAAATTCTTTTGGCTTTGATTCGAAGAACTCACAAATGTCAGTTTTAACCTCTTCCTGTGTTACAAAAGCTGTTTCTTCCAAATGATTCTGTAAGCTATGAAACAAATAGTAGTCTGAAGGAGCAAGATTGGGAGAATAAGGTGGATGAGGAATTTTCTCCCAACCAAGTTCTTCAATCTTTTGTGACGTGATTCTTGCTATGTGGGGTCGCACATTGTCCTTGATGAAACATCACCTCTTTTTGATTCACTAGAGCAGATCTTTTTTTCCTCAAAGCTTGGTTCAAATGCTCTAATTGCTGACAGTATATTTGAGCATTAATTGTTGCATTAGGTGGTAAGAATTCAAAGTGGATTATTCCTTGGCGATCCCACCAGATTGAAAGAAGAACCTTTTGCCCATGAAGTTCCCTTCTTGGCTGTGGCTGGGGTCCTTCCCTTTTATCAAGCCACTGTCTACGATGCTTAACATTTCGATAAAAGATCCATTTTTCATCACCAGTCACAAGTCTATCCCAAAAAGGTGAAACAAGTTGGCAAGAATGGAGAGAAAAGCAGATGTCAACTTGGGATTTGAGGTTGTTTTCAGACAATTCATGAGGCACCCATTTTCCAAGTTTAGGAACTTTTCCAAGTTGTTGAAGATGACGATGAACAGTTGTATGGTTTGAAGTGAGAACCACTGCCAATTCCTCAACTGATAAAGCAGGATTTTCTTCAAGGGCTGCTTCAAGAAGCTTTTCATCAAACTCAACTGGACGTCCAGTTTGATCTTCATCTTCAAGGGTGAAATCTCCACCTGTGAATTTTGCAAACCATCTTCTGCAAGTTCTTTCATTCACACATTCCTCTCCATAAACTGAGTGAATGTTTCTAGCCGCTTCCTTTCTTGAACTCATAAAGCAATGATTCTTGAGTACTTCTATGTTAGCAGGGTTTTAATCAAACAAATTTTATTGTTCTCTGAAATAAAATTTGATCAGTTTAAATGCATCTAAACATAAAAATAATGTTCAGCTCCATTAGACATTATAAAATACTCTTTAAATTTCGTTCATTTTAACAAAAAGTTAAAATTTAGACAGAACTTTTGGGATGACACACACACATATATATATATATATATATATATATATATATATATTCCGATGTTGAGCACTCTTCCCTTATAAATATAGTAAACTTTTAAAGGCATACTTTTTCTCTTTTCTTAATGAAAATCTTTTTTTTTTCTTTCTTCAAAGGTGATATTTGAAGAACAGTTAAAGAAACATGACAAGGTGATTGGATTGCTTGAACAAAATTTAGCTGCTCAAGACAACATCCTTCGAGCCCTCACCGATGCCAATGCCAAGTATGCTAATATTAGAAAAACCATTACAGAAATTACACTCAAGTAAGAACATTAACCCTTCTTTTCTTTATAACTTTATGGTTTTTCTTTTCTTCAATAGGACCATTAAAAACACAGATTTTATTTATCCTGAGTTTATCTGTTAAAATGTTGAGCCATAACATTTGATATCTTGAGGATATTAAAACTTTCATTCACTCTCATGTCTTGATACAGAAGATGTTCAGAGCATATATGATGGTTGCCTGATTGTTTCCTAGAGTGACTAGCTAATTTCCATTGCAGGAATATTTGTGTTTCTTCAACCTTTCACCCTTGTACTTTATGCTGCACCTATGCTAAGTGGATCTGAGTTAGTTTTCTGGGAGTGAACACATAATCTGGTATGATCATTAAATGAACAAGGCCAGTACACTTGAATACAGTGAAACCTCGGTTCACGAATTCGTTCATAACCCGAAATGTTCATAAACTGAAACTATTTTTCCAATAGGAATAAATGTAGAGAAAAAAAGTCACAGTACAATAAAATTGGGGAAAAAAAAAGCACGCCACAACATGTGGTAGTCAACTCGGTAATTATTCCATTCGGGCTAACTCAGTTGGGCAATGTTGTCTGAGAACCAAGGCATTTTCATCTCAAATATTCTGTTCAAAAAATGATTTGTTTAGCATGTGAGATGTTTGAGAACTGAGTTTGCACTGTACTTGGTTACAATTATGTGATTTTGTGCTACTGTAGCCATTGACCATTTTGTCTACCCATTTTCACTCACAAGGCTAGGACCAAACCAGGGTATGATTTTCAAGCAGTTCCCAATGGTGCAACAGGCTGTGATGGTACCCACAGGCCAATATCTCCTGGGCAAATTTACTCTGATGAGATTTGAGTCTACATCTCATAGTCAGAATGCTGAAGTTTTAAAAACCTTGCTAGTCCTGGGTATGACAATAAACTGAATTTGGCAACAAGGCTTCTGACTGGGAGATTGGATGTTTTGTGGAGTATGGGACCATGTCTTAACTGCTGCTGTTCCCAGATTAACCCTGACCTGGGGTGGTAGCATCTGTTAGGGTCCCAGCTATGGGCAAATAGTGACCCTCCCCCAAAAAAAAACTAAAATCAAAATACTAGGAAACTATAAAAATACATTTTTTATAGTAAATATATCAGCAATACATTTTAAAAAGAATAAATTGACCAATACATTTTTATTGTAAAATTGAGGACAAAAAAAATATTAAAAAGTAATTTGCTATGATTAATCCCATTTCATTTTGTAAGATTATTTGGTTAAGAAAAAAAAAACAGTTAAGTAATTAAAATTTAATCATGAAATAATATCATTCTTTTGAATTTATAAAGTTTGAATTTTTGTATTTAGATTTCAGCATTAAATATTCTATATAGGTGTTGATATGCCCTTAAAGAAAAACAAACAATTAAAAACTTGACCATGCTTAACCACTCTTGAACTGAAAATTTGTTGTAGCAAATTGTGCTTTGAAAATTGGGAAGAAAGATATTGACAATGGTCATGAATTAATGCCAGCATTACAGACTGAATATTACATGTTTAATGTAAATGCCTTGCTCAGTGAGTTCACATGGAGTATCTTAATTTAGTTCTCAAATGTCATTTAATCTTTCAAAAAGGTATTTCCTCTTGATAATCATTCAAATGATGTTTTCTGGAAGACTGAAGTTTGTAATTTCAAACTCTCTATATAACGTGTCTTTTCAAGGTATGGGCGTTTATAATTCTCCACAGCTTCTTCTCTTCTGCTGCTTTCAGTAATATTTGCTTCTTTATAGCCACTCTTTGTCTTTATGATACTTGTTCTGCAATCCATTTACATGAACTTATCAAGTAGGGTCTGTCATTTTTTATGTACCCTAAGTGTTAAATACTCTCCAAGCCTTCCTTCTTCATTGTGTCCCTAACTATCTCTTTGTGATTGTTATCAATAGTTTCTTTATAGTTTCTTTATAGTTTCTATTCTCAAAACTTACTTATTTGCCACAACAAACATGGTTCTACAGAAGAATACTGAGAATACCATAGACAGAACATGTGATCAACAAGGAAGTATTTTTTAAGAAAAATGTAAATGAAAAGGACACTTAGAATCCCGAAATGTTGAAAACAGGGTTGGAGAATTTGACACTCAAAGGATATATTGAAGGCAAGAGATACAAAGGGAAACAGTAAATAACCTATTTAACAAGTTTGTGTGAATGGATGACAGAGCAAAGAGTGGGAGTGATAGAAAAAGATGGACATATCTATGAATTACAAAGGATAGGAAATTGTAGAGGGCACGTTCTGAAGAGTCACGGTAGATATAAGAATTTGCCACATGCCCTGTACATGCTGTTGATAGAATCACATTTAAGTGACTTCAAGTTTTTTCTTCATTTATAACAAAATTATCCAACTCTTACTCCCATTCTATATAAGAGTGCAGACATTACATATTAGTGAAGCTCACAGTGTCTATAAGTTTTATAATTCTTTTTCTCTTTTACAGGAGAGAAGCTTTGATCAAAGAATTAATGAACAGTTATGATGTGTATGAAGATCTTTTGGCCAAATCACAGAAGGGCCTTGAATTCTATACAAAGCTTGCTGCAAATGTAGACCAACTTCAGCGACAGTGTCGCAGTGTGTGCCAAGTGCAAGGAGAAGAAAGAGACCAAATTAAAAACAAATATGCAGCAAAGAGTAAGTTAAATCTATAACTACAGTTTGTTGTGGTTGACGGTGGGAGTGTGACAGTATTTTGCTGTTAAGTAAATGCTTTCTTTGCCTGTGGCATAATGCGCAACATACACAACTGAAGAATTTCTATCACTGAATATTTTCATGGGCCGATGTATCCTCATGGGTGGCCTAGGCTTGCTGGGACAGGGATGATTTTATCAAGTCATCATTTCTAGAAGGGTTTTTTGAGTTTTAAAAAGGTATTATTCTTTGGGTGATTCTGTTCAAACTCCAAATCTGCATTGAATTCTTCTTGTTGCTGAAATAGAAGGTACAGAGGGAAGAAGGAGGCAGAAACACTGGAAATGGATTTGGCAACCTTATTACGGTAACAACGCTCTGTTGATGGGAAATGTCTTCCCAAGCAAAAGACACGTGTTTACCCATTGAAAGTTCAGGGGAAAAAGAGAACGATTTTTCTTGTTTGTCTTTGGTGCCAGGAAACCCTTCTTTATTCGTGCACACATCATTAGTTTTTCCTGTCAGGGAGCATCCTGGGAGATAACTCTTTTTTTTATTTTTTTGTATTTCTTTTATCTTATTGTGATTTGTTTTTCATTTTTTTTATTTTATCAATTATACAATCCTCACAGGTTGCTATGGTTATATTTTTCTGTTAATGCTGCCTGCAATTTGAATCTGAAAAGGGCCGTTCTTATGTTCTTAATCTTGCAAGAAAGGAACCTCTTCCATGAACCATCATAATTTAAATAATATACAATAATTTTTATTTATAATATAATTTGTTTATAATTCTAATAATCTTTTCAGTTAGATTTCAGCTCTCTAAATTGATTGTACGCTGTTTTTTATAGACATTAAATTTTGTCTTTGATTTTTGCACAAAGTGTAAAAAATCAATTTTTTTTTTTTTTTTTTTTTTTTCCTCTCACCTTCAAGCCAGTTTGGACTAAAAACTGGCACTAAAGAATTATCTATCAAACAAAAAAATTTCATCCTAATTGGATGAAAACTGTGGAAGCACATAAACAACATCCAAACACACACACATACATTTTGAGAATATAGATATAGATGTAATATTGTGGCTGTAGAATAAAGTAGAGTAAATTAAGGATAAGAAAAAATCCATTGCTTAACTAATAGCCACACAGATTGTTGGAAATATATTGTATTTTTGAAATATGTATTTAACAGGACCAATGGACAATCACAGGTCCCACAAGAAAGAAAGGGTAAAAGGAACAGTCTTTTCATTGGTTATTTTAATTAATCAGGAACAAGCAAAAAGACAAGATTTTTGAATAAGAAAAGGAATGCTTTCCTCCAACTTTCTTTTACTGACGTTTTTGTCTTTGTAGCAAGCATATGGCCTAAAATAAAAAAAGTTAGAGTAGAGAAGTTCACTCACTTGTGTCCTCGCCATCAATGACGAATGGTCGGCAACATTTCCTTGCTCAAGGCAATAAAAAGTCTTTTCATTGTTTTTTGAATTATTTAGGAATGAGCAAGATTTCTGGATAAGAAAAGGTGTGTATTTCTCCAACTTTTTTCTATTGGGGTTTTTGTATTGGTAGCAAGCAGATAGCGCCCCCACCCCCCAAAGTAGAGAAGTTCACTCATTTGTTGTGCCCTTTCCATCAATGACAAGTGGTTGGCACCATTTCTTTGCTCATGGCAATAAAATTTGGCCTATACAGATTCAATGCATTATTATTACAAGCAAACCTCTCACTTGGTGAAAAGATGGCTTTTGATTTCCATTGAGAAATCAAGATGGTGCGACTTTGGGTTATTTGCATAAGGAGGCCCATTGTGAACAATATGGTTATTACTTAAATAGCTAATTTTTTTTTTTTTTTTTTTTGCAAATAATCATGGAAATACATTGCAAATTAAAAAAGGATTTTTTGTTGTTCAGGAATTAAAGAATTAATTACTGACTGCTAGAGTCATTATTTTATATATATATATATATATATATATATATAGTGTTGACTTCTATGTTCACTTTTATATTTACACACGCTCTATCTCTGATATTGAGCACTTTATCCCATAAATATAGCACACCTTAAGACTATATTTCTTTATATATATATATATATATATATATATATAAAATTTTATTTTTTTTTTTTTTTTTTTTTGTGTTGATTATAGCTCCTGTCCCAGCACGACCTGCTGCTCCAAAGCCAAGTCATTCTTCTCAGTCATCATTACCAAGTTTTGAAGGACCAAAACTTAAAGACTATTTACCATATATGAAACCAGCTACCTTTGGCAAAGGGGCAGGAGAGGGCCAGTCTAGTGGCTTATCCACCCCAGATGAACCATCCAGCCTTCCAGACCAGTCAATGCCATCCATGGTGGGTGCTGGCATCCCTCATTCCAAAGACGGTGAGAACATAACACCAGTATCGACTGGAGTAGGCCAAGCACCACACATTCCACAGGTGCGTTTTGTATTATTTGTAGTATTTTACATATTGAGTTTTCAATATCTTTTTTTCTTTTTGTTCATTCTTTTTTTTTCTTTTTGTTCATTCTTTTTTCTTTTTTTCCTTTTTTCTTTCTCTCTTTTCTCCTCTTTTCTCTTTTTTCTTTTTTCTTTTCTTTTCTTTCTTCTTTTCTCTTTTTTCTCATATTCCTCATTTTCTCTGTTTCCCTCTCTTTTTTTCGTGTATATATATATATATATATAAAATGTGTGTGTTAGTGGGTACATGTTTAAGTTGACATCCTTATCCTTTTTTATTTTCTTGACCATAAAATTGTCACCCAGCCAAGATTGAGAAGTCCTACTATAGGAAATCTCCTATGACCTAATTGGTAAGGTTATACTTTGGCTATAGGAGTGATAAATAGAAAAAGGGAATGTAAGTTCACTTCCTGTTGGAAGACACATATTTATTTAATAGAAATTTTTGATCTTGACCAGTTGTTACTAATTTCACTGTTTAAGAAAATAAAAATGCAGGGATGTCAACTGAGATGTGTAAACACTAAAAATAAAAATGTTGGATTAAAAAAAATCTATTTATATGTGAGTAATTGAATGACAAAATGGAAAAACTGTTAAGTATTTCATCCTTTGAAAACATTTTTTTTTTTTTCAGACTAATAATAGCCTGTTAAAATTCTACATTGAGAAAAGCTGAAAAAAAGCTTGAATTTAACTTTAAAACAAAGAATCACTTTTCCTTCTTCAGTGTTTGTTATAATTCCTCCACCACTACATATGATTCCATCACTAAAACAATTACTAGTCTGAAGAAGTCTTTTCAAAAAGTGAAATACATAATAGAAGAGTTTTCCATTTTTCTCATTCAGTTATTCACTACTCATCTGACAAAGAGTTGTATACCTTTATTTATATATATATATATATATATATATATATATATATATATATATATAAAAATATGAGAGAGAGATTTAATAGGCTGGCTAATAAATTTTGTGGAATAAAAAACAAAATGTTAATATTGGCAATAAGATTGAGAGATGTTTACTATATACAGACAAACCATTCATCAACAGACTAATAGGAAGAATGGGTGATCCGTTAAAGCGGATTGTTCGTAGATAGGAAGGGATTATTTTTGAATTATAAAACCGTTATAGTAACTACCAATAGTTATGATCATAATGTAAATACTATAAACATGTATATATGGCATAAATAAATATATACTTAATATAGATATTTTAATCAAAATAACAAAAATAATAGATTTCTCACAGCTACTTATGTATCATACTTTCTATACTGTGCACCTGTCTTCATTTACCATTGAAAGAGCCATCTCCGCTGCCAAACGGTTACTTTGAGAACTAATACAACTTGTTCTGCTAAGCTGGCAAATCTTGAAATACATTTCTGACAATTTGGAAGTTTTTTCCCCTGCAGATTTTTTTTATTTTGCCTGCAGATTTTGTCCATTGCATCTGAAGTCCATTGATTGGATGGGGTTCCTTAGATGAGAGGTTTGCCTGTATTAGATTTTGGCTAAATTGAAGCACAAAGAGAAAGATTTTAAAGTTGGAATTTTTGGACATGCCTGTGTCCTTTATCAATGAAATGAGGAATAAAAAAAGAAGTGGAACTTACTCTCCCAAGGAATGTTGTTGCTCGTTAGAGGGCTCCTTGTGGAAATTATACTCTGAATAAACTCAAATCCCTGTTTAATCCCTAAATGT